TCCCTAGACCCACAAGCCAGGTCTCGTCATAAGACATCAGGTAAATCTCAATTGAGGGACATTTTATAAAATTTCTGATTAGCTCTTAAATCTCTCATGTCATCAAAGTCTGAAAAACTGTAGTTATGGGATAAAAGGGGGCATTACAGAAAAACTAGAAATCTGAATGACATGTTTAACAGTCATACAGGAATCAATCACACTGCACCAGAGTAAGAAAGACACTATCAGTCAGGGAAACTGGGTGAGGTTTTTGCATGCTTTACGCACAGGCAAAACTATTCTATGAAAAAAATAAAATAAAAAATTTAAGGCGGCCAGACAGTGGTGGCACCCGCTTTAATCCCAGTGCTTGTGAGGCAGAGAGAGACAGTCAGACAGGCTCCAAACCTACAGAGAAACCCTGTCTCAGGGAAAAAACAAAGAATTCTAAAACAAAGTATGCTTGAATGAAATTAAATGAAAAAATTAAATGAGGATGAATGTTCTTTTGGTCTCTGTTTGGTGGTAAGACAGTGACAATCAATATTCTGCAGTAATGGGACTAAAAGTATCCATAAAGAAATACCATAGGCAGGCTACAAGTCTTGATACAGTATTCGTTACAGACTTCCATGTTGCCAAAGCAAAGCCCATTGCATTCTAGTTTCCCAATCACCATTCTTAGTCCTCAACACTTCACCTACTACCTCTTATGAAAATTCCTACACTAGCTGCCACCTCTGTATCATCCCATACCCTACGAGCCATTACTACAGGTCATGTTCACCTGACATCTCCCACTCCTCTACTTCCAGCAGACTAAAGCCACCAGCTTTTTGTCAATAAACACCCTCCCTAACCTCACTATTATTACTTTTTCCTTCAGTAACGCTCTTCCCAGCTCCTCCCATTTCCTCTGAAAGCAGCACCACACTGCAGTCAAATGAACCTTCTCAAAAGGGTTCATCTCCAGCTCCTTCTCGAGAAACTAAGACCATACTTAAATTCAGAAGTGGTTTTTTTCCCACCTTTACTTATAAAGACGGATAGATCTATTTATCTTCATACCTCACACCCAATTCCTACTTTTTCTTCATTTAGACTAGACAGAGAGTACAGATCTAAAATAAGGGCTTAATAAGTGGTCAAAGCGTATAATCTAATTAGGATGATAAAGCCTAAAAGATAATAAAATGTGAAGGAACTCTCTCACTCAATACTATTCACTGCTCCTATAGTACAGGCTGATACATGGTTAAGTACTCAATATTTATTTATTTTGTTAAGCCAAGAGGCAGTAGAGAATGCTACAATCTAAAGAAATATATGTTCTTACAGAAGGAAAGTAAAGATGGGTCTAAAAGTCTGATTCCAAGGCTCACAGAGCAATCAGCATTTCAACCAGGCCCAAAGCTCAGAATATCCAAGTGTATTTTCAACAGATAAACAGGTCAACACAGATGTAACATAAACTGTAGTACCATGCTTATATGTAAATAATTAACAGCACAGGGAGGGGCCAGAGAGATGGTTAAGAGCATTGACTACTCTTCCAGAGGTCCTGAGTTCAATTCCCAGCAACCATATGGTGGCTCACAACCACCTCTGATAGGATCTGATGACATCTTCTGGCATGCAGAGCACACATACATAAAATATAAATAAATAATTAAAAAACAAACAAACAAACAAAAAACAGCACAGTGGAAGATGAAGATGGAAGATTGGAACCAAAGCGTGAGAGTTAAGAAGAAATCTCATTCAGGGTTGATTTTTACAAAGGGGTGTTGCCATTTGAGTGACATTATAGGAAGATTATGGAGGTAGCACAGATGTCCCCCTTTAGAAACCCTTTCTTCTCCAATAAAGCTGTGCTACCCACCCCAGCCTTCTACAGTTCCCCTCTCCATTCACCCCTCACAACTTACACCTTTATACACAGCTTAACTCCTGTATTGTCTCAGTTGTAAACTTTCCTTGCTTGTGTTGAATTTATTCAACTGAAGAAAAAGATTACATCTAGGTATCTTTTTCTTCTCTAAATCAGTAAAGCCCTGAGCTCTAAAAGCCATTTTTGGAAGATCTTTACATTTACATAAAACCCTGCTATTAAATTACACAATCTAAAAGCAACAAAGTGGACATTTAAAGAAACACCACTCTTGCTGGACAGGTCTTTAATCCCAGCACCCCAGAGGCAGGCAAAACTCTTGAGTTAGAGACTGAGAAATCAAAACAAACAAAACTCAAAACCATTCTTGGATTAAAAAAGAGTATGTGAATTTGGATGGGTATAGATGTGGGGTTGGATTTGGAGAATTTCACTGTATGAAATTCTTACAAAATATATAATAAAAAAATTCTTTTGAATTGCTGAGACAAACAGCAACAAAGCCCATATAAGCCAAGTGTGGTGGTGTACACCTGTAATACCAGCTCTTGGGAGACAAACGCATGTGGATCATGAGTTTAAAATTGTCCTTATCTACATACCAGGTTTTGAGGCTAGCCTGGGCTATAAGACCCTGTCTCAAACAATCAAAACAAAACCACCATCCTTGGTGGTGCACACTATCAATCCCAGCACTCAAGATGCAGAGGCAGATGAACCTCAGGGAGTGGGAGGCCAGCCTGATCTGCATAGCAAGTTCCAAGCCAGCCAGAGTCACATACTGAGATCTTGTCTCAAAACAACACAAAAGACACAGAAGCAAGAGGGTCATTCCAATATAGTCAGAGTCTTTTCAACACACACACACACACACACACACACACATACCACTTCCACTTTGAGTAATACTAAGTTTCATTTTGCTATTAGATCTCATTACAAATGACATAGGTTCTATCTTGCAGTAAATATTTTCGGTCTTCCGGCTTTACATAAGTATCTCTTCAGTTCATTTACTTTTCTTTCTCAGCTAAGCACTGCTCTCAGGGGTCAGCACACACTCATTCTGCAATTTTATCTTTTCTATAGTAGCAAGCCCTACAGCACCTCAATACCTCCATTAACTTCACTTAGCACAAACATTACAGGATAGTCGAAATTCCAGCACACAGTGTTGGAATGATTTCCCTCCACAATTCTGCACAAATGTTTCCTTCCTATGGCTTAGCAATAAAGTAAAACTAAGTATAACAGGAACATGTTACAGAAACAAACCAAACTGTCAAAGCAATCAAAAACTGACCCACTGGTACCTAAAAATTTACTCTCCAACTTTATTTCTTTAAATCTTTATTTCCCCTTTCACCTTTACATATTCTAAAAGGCAAATTTCCACTTAAGATTAATTATTTTCATATTAATTGATATCCCAAATTTGACTGTATACAAATCAGACTGGCATTTATCTCTAAAAAAGCTATTTCATCGTTTTGATATATGTAAAAAGGAAAAAAATAGTTTTTTCACAAACTCAAAACACCTGAATGTGATAATTTCACATTCATTAGAATCTCTCGTTAATGGTTCTGATATTCAAACAACTTCAGAGGCAGGTAATTCTATAGAGACACCGCTCTACTACTCCCTAACACTCTGATGATACCTAACACTGCTAAAATTTTAAGGTGAATCCTCAAAGCTGCAGAGAATGGCAGAAATGTTAATATGCACCTCACCAGAAGAAATGCAAGCAAAGCCCCTAGACGATTCAGGTGAAATACCTAAACACGATGGATTCGGCTCTTTTCCACTACCCCATGAGAGCGCACCGAGAGAAGTCTGCAGCAGAACCCAAGACTACAAACCATTACAAGCCCTTGCTACCGGAGACGCCTCAAGCCTTCTGACCGCTAGAGCACTCTATTGCACTCAGCCGGCCACGTGGCTGTCACAATCAGAAGACAGGAGAAAGAGCACCAACTAACCTGGAAATAATTAACCGCTCACATCGGAGTTGTGAGTACAAGAAAAATAAAATAAAAAAAAAAAAAAGTCTGTCATTTCTCTGCACTTAGGGCTATCCCCGTCCCACCCCGCAGCATCTTCTGTAAGGTGAAAAGGAAAGCTTTCAAGCAGAAACTAAGTGCAAGAGGAGTACGGTTTCCCAATGAAACTGCACCCCAAGTCGCGTGAGGTGCAGTGGCAACAGTGGTGTTTTTTTTTTTTTTTTTAAATGAGGGTAGCCGGGGGGCGGAGTTTGGAGTGAAGAGGGAGCACCTCGCACATGGACTACCTCCCCCCTACTCCCACCCGGCGCGGGGCTGCAGGCCGCCGGCGCAGCACACGGACCAGCTCCTAAGCTCAAGGCCGTCGACCACCGCGGACCTCTCCCAGCCGGGCCGGAGACCGGAGGGCAGGGGCAGAAGCAGCCTGGGCCCCAGAGAAGGCGAACAGGAAGTGTCCATATTGCAACGCTCTAGCAGCAGTCCAAGTCCCAACCCAGCCAGTGTCCGGCGCCCCTCGGGGGGCGCCAGCCCGAGGAGCGGGACCGGGGTCGGCCACCACCCCACATCCGGGCCCCGCGCCCGAAGTTCACGCGCGGGGCCTCCGGGGCACTACTTCTCCGGGCCCGGCCATCCCGCCCGCCCGGGGCCGGAGCGAACTGGACCGGACCAGACCCGGGCTCCACGCCGCGCGCGTCCCGCTCGGATCGGAGCCGGAGCGGCGATGTGGCGCGGGGCTCTCCGGGCGCTTAGAGCAACTCGCGGGTCGCAGGTTTCAGCCGCGCTCACCCGGGCAGTGCCCTGGGCTTGCCCGCCGTGGCTCGGGCCGCGCGACGCCTCCTCCGGACGGTCATTACCTCGGGAGAAACTCCTAACTCCTCACGGGGGCCGTGCTCGCCTTACTTCCACACCCCCGGGGAACCCACGCTCCGCCCGAGCCGCGCGCCGGGAACACCCCCGCGCCGGGCGCCTGCCAGTTCTTCACGGGACACACACACAAATTAAAAAAAAAAAAAATGTCCCGGCGTGTCACGGGACAGCCGCCTCCGCGCCCCACGCCCTGCGCCGCCGGCCGCACGCGCTGCCTCCCTCCGCGCCCGCGCCGCTCGGCCCCGGGGACTCACCGTCAGCTCCGCCCGCCGCGAAGGGGAAGCAAGGGCCGGGCCCGGGCCGGGCCAGACACAATATGGCAGAGCACCGCAGCTGCTCCCGCGGCTCCCTGCAGCCGCCTCCGGGACACCCAGCCGCGAGCAGGCAGCGGCAGCTGCGGTGGCGGCCGCCGCAGCACCACATCCCCCTCCCGCTCGCCCGCTTCCTCCCCTCCTCCCCGCCCCGCTGCCATGGCAACGAGGCGCCAAGGCGCTTGGCCCCGCCCCCTCCTTCCGCCCCGCCTCCCGTGGCTCGCCCAGGCCTCGCTCCCTCCCGCCCGCCGGTTCGCAGGGCGGCGGCCGCCCCCTCCGGGCTGGCCCGAAGGCGGGGGTGGGGGGGGAAGGTGGCGTCCGGAAGGGCGGGGCAGGCTCGGAAATCTGGGTGGGGGACATCCCCGAGGCCACGGGCCCGGCCGAGCAGGCGGGAAAATGAAAAGCCCTCGCCTGTCCCCGGAAGGACCTATGGGAGGGCGGCGGAGGCGCGGCGCGGCTGCTGAGTGGACGAGCTGGCGCGGGACGAGCGAGAGTGGCCTCCCGCGGGGCGTGTGCCCGGGCTGCTGCGAAGGCTAGCGCGGCCCTGGGTTCGGTCCATGCTCCGAAGGCTTGCCACCATTGATTGGTCAGGCTGTGAAAGCATGGCTGGGACCCTAAAGCTGTATTGGAGATGGCGCTACCCTCGTCTGCCTCAAACGCAGTACAAACTCTTGTAGTGCCTTTTTTTGTTGTTTGTTTTAGGGGGAAACATGGGCTTTGGAATCAGGTCCAAATTTTACTAAGGTAACATTTCTTATAGGTCTTGCCGCGCAAATAATAAGGAAACAGTAACAAAAGCAAAGTGTAAAATTTGCAGAGTCCTCTCTAATTGCTTTGGATAGTAATGAGGACTTTACATGTATTGCCTTTAAGGGTCCAGTGCTGGTAGGTGAAACGGGAGTGCTCAGTTAAGTCTGAATTTCAGACGACAGCAGAATAATTTTTAATATTAAGGACATTCACTTTGGAATATACTTCCTGGTTGTTTGTTTCGGGTCTTTGGTGAATCTACGTACTCTACAGTTTAATGGAATTCCACTTACAGAGAAGGAAACTGAAGCCTAGAAAAGTAGCTTATCAAATCACCCGTGGTGCAGTTTTATATTCCAGTACTGGGTCCGGTGAGGCCTGAGGATTGCCATGATTTCGAGATCAGCCTGGGCTTCCTATGGAGCTTCTGCTTCAAAGAGGAAACAGTATAGTGCCTCACACCTGTAATCCCACCATTTAGAAGCTGGACATAGGAGAGTCAAATGTTTAGACCATCTACATACAGAACTAAGTTTTTTTTTTTTAATAGAAAAAATATAACGTCAAATATATGCCTACATAATAAGACGCAAAACTAGCTGGACAGTGGTGACACAAGCTTCTAATCACCGAACTTGGGAGGCAGATGCAGGCAGATCTCCGTGAGTTTGAGGCTAGTCTGGTCTACCAAGTGAGTGCCAGGAGAGGCTCCAAAGCTAAACAGAGAAACCCTGTCTCAAAAATAAATAAATAAATAAATAAATAAATAAATAAATAAAAATTAAAAAAAAAAAACACAAACACAGACAGAAGCAAAACTATGACTTCAACTTACTGTTGTTATTATGAACCTGGAAATTAAGTCTTTCAATTTCTATATCTACTTCTTCAAAAACTTCACTACCGATAACCTGTTTCACACATATTAAGTGGATGAAGAGAAAAAGTATCAGAAACAGAGACATTGCCTGCCTGTGTATGCACAATAGAACTTCATTTGGTCCCCAATGAATGAATGTTGACTAGATATTCAGTATGTCTCAGGCGTTGCGTATATGTGAGCTGAATATGAGGCAGGTACCTCAGAAGAATTACAGGCATCCTGATACAGAAAAACAAAAAAGGGAGTATTTGATCCCTTCATTCCACAGATGAAAACACCGTTCATATGATTAGAGTCATCTACCAGTTCCTCCCCCCCACCCCTGACAATGTCCAGGAGAGCCCTGGGTTTTTTCAGAGTAAGAAGCCACAAGGCAAAAGTAAGAGATGCTTCAATTGGAGCAACATTTCCTGCACATCTTTCATAGCCATCTCTGCTGCCCCCTCATGTGGACAAACTGAAAGAAGTTCCTGGAAAAAGGAAGAGAAAGTATAGGGAAGAAGGAAGGGAAAGTTGAGAAAAAGTGGCAAGAAACAAAACAAAACAAAAAAAACCACACACAACTTCAGCCATCTGTGGTAGCACTTGCCTTTAATCCTAGCACTCAGGAGGCAGAGACAGGTGGATCTCTGTGAGTTTGAGGCCAGCCTGGTCTACACAGTGAGTTTCAGGGTTACACTGAGAGGGTTTTTCTCTCTCTAAAAAAAAAAAAAAAAAAAAAAAAAAAAAAAAAAAAGCCACAATGCCACAACTTCGGTGCTTCAGTGCTCCCAACAGATAAGGATTAATATGGCATTTGATATATAAAATGAATTTTAGTTTTTTCATAAATTGATGCATCTATTTTAAACTCAAGTTACTAAACACTCTTCCTCAGTCATAGAATTTGAAAGGTATATGGTGGTTTAGAGATAAATCACCCCAGGAGCCAGCCTATCATAACCCCCCCCCAAAGTATACACCTTGCCCAAGGTCAAGTAATGGATCTCGTGCACACTCATCCATAAAACCCTCTCACCCTCTCTGCTGGTCCTCTTCAGGGACTGGTCCCACCCAGGAAGGCTGGCACATCTATACAACCCCAGCCTGTAAAGCTTAAGACTGTTAGAATCTGTTACACTCAGCTCAAAGTCCGGGGAAGCTTGTATATGGAGAGGCTAATGAGAGGACTTTGAACACCCACCAAGGAAAAGCCCTGATTAAAGATAATGATGACCCAGAGGGAACAGCTTTTCCCTTGTGTTTACCAAAATAAGAACAGCATTTTAACTCTTTACCAAAAAAAAAAAAAAAAAAAAAAAAGAAGCCCTGGGTATCAAGATTTGTGGAGCTTTATTTTTTTCTCCAGAGTACTTTTTTCCCCTGTGCATTTTTTTAAACATAATTTATTTATTGAGTCTTTGGAAATTTCACATCCTGCACCCTAATTCCACTCTCCCCAAAAATCCCCATACCCCTGCAGTGCCCCCCTAGAAAAGGAAAATTTTAAAAATCAAACTAGCAAGCAAGCAAACAAAAACAACAAAACAAACAAAAAACCCTCTTCCCTTCACCTTCTTTCCTGTCTAACACCTCTTCATTCATCCTGGTGGCATTGCAAGTGGTGTGTCACATAGTATCCCTTTTTTTCCAAACAGTTTTACTAACAAATGTTGCAATGAGTGACTTCTGGTCCAAGGCCTCTGGTTCCTGGTACACCATCATCACTGGATCCTCACCGGAACTCCTTGGGGATAGCCCCACTATTGCCCCAGTCATGGAGATCCTGCAGGTATTGCTCAGAACCAGTCCCTTCATTAGCTCCAGCAGGTCCTAGATGGTGTAGAAGGCTTGGCTATTGGCCTGGGTGGTATCTGAGCTGGTAAATTTAGGATGCTGGGGCCACCCACATCAGGTAAGGGGGTGTGTTGTGGAATATTTAACTATGTAAAGATGTGTTGGTTTGTTTATGCTGTGAAATATTACTGTAACTGTGAAGGTGTGCTACATTTGCTTAGGAATGTAGGTATGTGTTACATTTGTGTGGCTCACAACCCTCTGTAACTCCAGTTCTAAGAGAGCTGATGTCATCTGATCTCCAAAGGCACCTGGTGTACACAAAGTACACATGCAAACAAAAAAGATTCATACATTAACATGTTTTAAGTAAGTATGCCAGGCGTTGGTGGCACACACCTTCAATCTCAGCACTCAGGGGGCAGAGGCAGGGGCAGATCTCTATGAGTTCGAGGCCTGCCTGATTTACAGAGCAAGTTCCAGAACAGGCTCCAAAGCAATACAGAGAAACCCTGTCTCCAAAAACAAAACACAAGAAAACAAATAAATGTTTTAAATAAGTAATAAATGTACCTTCTCACTTAGGCTGAAGAGTAGGAGAAATAAAAAATATAGGTGTTTATGTCCAAGGTGTGTTAATTAGCATGTTAACATTGTCATTGTAATAAAGGACAAAAGTCATTGGAATCAAGGACAAATGATTCTAAAAGGCTTTTGACAAAAGATGTAGACCTTATGACTTTTAGTAACAAGGACAGTGACTACGTCCTTTTCATCATTGGGATCCAGTTTCTTAAAACAGCTGATGTTTCAGAGACAGTGAGCAATAACATTGGTATAAAACCAATAACCCCTCAAAGTTTATGATGTCAAGACCAGAAGGCAGTATGCCAGAGTACTGGCATGCCAGCCACCAAATTGCCAGTGAAAGTTACTCAATGTACTTTTTCTAAAGTTCTTGTCTTATTTGTTCATCATGGTCTTGTAAAACTGAACTCTCTATGTAGCCAAGGATGACTTTGAACTCTTAATCCCTGCCTCTGCCTCCAAAGTACTAGGATTACAGTTATGGCAGCTGGTGTTCAGAGACAGTTCCTGCACAGTCAAGGCTACACAGAGAAACCCTGTCTCAAAAATCAAAAACAAAAATCTGCCGGGTGGTGGTACATGCCTTTAATCCCAGCACTCAGGAGGCAGAGGCAGGCAGATCTCTGTGAATTTGAGACTGGCCTGGTCTACAGAAAGAGTTCCAGGACAGCTAGGGCTACACAAAGAAACCTGTTATGAGTAGGTTTTTCCTGTTGGTCTGATGCCACCACTACGCCAGCCCCAAGTAACACACAGAGACTCTGTATTTGATACAACGCTGTTGACCAGTTACTTGTTTCTTATCACTAGCTCTGTCTTAAGTACTAACCCATTTCTATTAATCTAAGTATTTCCATGTGGTCTCATCTTACCAGAGAGTGGGGCATTCGTCTGCTCTCTCCAATTTCTACATGCTGACTCCTCCCTACTCCTTCCTCTTTCCTCCTTGTCTCCTAGTCCCTCCTATCATCCTTTCCTATTGCCCAACAGTGCTTTATTCATTAACCAGTATGAGAAACATATTTACAGAATGGCATCTCCCATCAGAAACCCCATCTCCAAAAAAAAAAAAGAAGAAGAAGCAAAAGAAAAGAGGACAGGGACAGGAAAGCAAATCTGTAACGGCTGCAGTAA